ATCTTGGACAATATCTGATGATCGACACTTTTAAATGAAACCAGAGAGCGTTGACGGAGAGGAGAAGGTAGAAATGACTCAGCCTGCAACTGAAAATACAGATGGAGGACAACAGAGCTGCTTCATGGAAGCTTTTCGTGCTCATGCTATATTGCCTTATATGTACTGTATTAGCTCGGCGCTAGCGCGACAAACAAGCTAAACTGAGGTCCTCCATCCATATTTTCAGTTCCAGGCTGAGTCATTTCTACCTTCTCCTCTCCGTCAACGCTCTCTGGTTTCATTTAAAAGAGTCGATCATCAGATATTGTCCAAGATTAACCTTCAGGGTGGATTTAGCTCGCTCACACTGAGGGCCTATCCACGTCAACATTTACCCAGAATGCTTGTAAATAAAATGGCCCTGTCCGTGTAATATATTTTTAAACTTTTAGTTTAAAAATGATAAAAACTGAACATCCTGCAGTATTTTTACAGTCTTTATTTTACATTTAAAATACATATTTATTAAATAATGTCTAATGTTACAACTAATCATGGAACCCTTTAAGGAAAGCATTTCTTTCATGACAGAGTTTTAAACTAATGTGCTGAGAAGTGTTAGTGTTTTTGTCAAACCACGAGGTTTTAAATGATCTAATTTTGCATGTTAGTGTTCATCAGCTTCGTCATCAGCTTCCACATTTTTAAACAAAGATGTGCTAACTGTTAGTTCTTACATGTTTTGTGAATGACTCTCAGCTACTACCACACTGACTTTCAGCTCAATCCCTGTAAAACTGACTGAGTTGTAAACATTTTTGTCTAGGTTATGTTGATTAACTATGGTTGTATACAGAATGTACAACCAATGGGAAATATTTCGCCAATAATAAAACTGGGCTTTTCCTCTTGGCCAAAAGAAGTTGATCACATCCTAAAATGTAAAGAATCATTAAAAAAAACTAATTATATTAGCTAACTTAACCGATCAAATATTCTGTAAGTAGTTGGGTTAGAATAATGTTTGCATTTAGTGGATGTTTTAATTACTTACACAACTTGCACATTGACTTATAAAACATTAGCTATTCTGAAAATGCCTCTACAAATGCAGGAACGTACTAAAGTAAAAAAATTCGGACTTGAACCCTAAATCCTCTGATCTGAAGACATTGAAGAGGTCCTCACTTTACATCAAAGACCTCAGTTTGATGGTAACTATGGCGCAAATGGTCCTCACTCTGTAGTAAAAACAAGTACACCCTTTCACTTTCGTCAGTGATAAAAACTGTGGATGTGATAAAACTCTCCTCCTGCGGTGTGTTTGTATAGAGGGAAAGCAGAGAACTTACTCAGTTCACAGTGCTTGCCTTTAAACCTGGCTGCACAGCTGCAGATGAAAGCGTCACCCTCGCTCACACACGTTCCTCCGTTCTGGCAGGAGCGGCTGCGGCAGTCCTGAGGCGACTCTAAAGAGACAGCAGCTGCCGTTAACGTCCTGACAACACAACGAGCTGCAGTTTCAGGCTCACTCTTCCAACACTGAATGTGCTGAAGGCCTCTGGCTCGGCTCGCACGCATCACAACATGAATCTCATGCATATATTAGATGGATTTAACTACACAGCCGGACTGAAAGGCAGAAAAATAAACCAAACAGTAAACACCTACCAGACTGTGCTCTCGAACCTTTTTCTTCCATCTCCAGAGCAAGGCTGATTTTGTTTGTTGTCTCCTCCAGCTTCTCTAATACGATAGGTGGATCAGGTTCTGTAAGAGAAAACATTTCCTGTTATGTGTCACTGCGGGAAGACAAAATAAATGAATGCACTTTGACTAAAATAATTTAAATTCCTCAGCAACAAACAATATTATGACAATGCCGGCCAAACATCATTAAACAGACCGAAGGCTTTAGGAGAGGAAGTTTGTTCTCCAGAGAACACGATAGCATCTGTAAAACTGTTTTTCTGTTCCAACAAGGACTCTGGGAAGAAAATCATTCTGTAAAAACTGTATAAAGTTATTTTACATAAGAGGACCACTGATATCCAGACAGGTTCAATCCAGAAAACCATGTCAGCATTTTCCCACATGATCCCAGATGTTATGTGGCATGTTACTGAGTACATTTATCCTGCTGAACATTACAGATGAGGAAAAAATAGTCCACTCTCTTTTAATTCTAGGATTTTATGCATCAAAACATAAAACAGTCTTTATTTGCATTCTCTAGTTGTTCCAAAACACAGCTGGTTGCACAGTGAACAAACCAAGCTGATTCCGCTACATGACCCAGCAGCCTTCAGCAGAAATAACCCTCTGTACAACTTTTATCTATCTCTCATATGGATTTAGAGACACTTACAAAGTTGTTTCAGTTAATTTAGGTTTGCTGATTTCTAAGGTTCCATCACAGCATATCAGTCAGGCTGAGGTCTGGACTAGACCATCTTCTGGTCTTTACAGTGTGTTGGTTTTACTGGATCTGATTTGATTTAATTTATTTATTTAACAGGAAAAGATTATTGAAAATCAAGTCTGACTCAGCATAATTGCTGTTTTACAGCAGGTTCCTGTTCTGCAGCACATAAAAAAACTCAGAATTACAGCATCACAATCACATCATTATACACCATAGACACAAAGACAAACAAGCATACCAAATTTCAGGAAGGCAGCATTTGCAAAATAGGACGTCTAAATATGAGCACAACAAAAAGATAAGTAAATAAGTAAAATTATCCCAGCTACAATGACAGACAACAAATATTACATTTATAGTATTACAACTACAACCG